ATTTGGAGGTTCTCTTTTAAGCGACAATTTCTTTTCTTTATTACTTACGTTTGTTTTTTCTTTTCATTGAATAGGAACACATTTTGAATCTTTAATAAAAGTTTAACCCAACCTGCCACCCATTCTGTGGGAGAAGGGACACATTCTGCAGATTCTCTGGATATTGTTATTAAAATATTTATTTTCATTCATGTGCCCATCAAATTGCATAAGAGTTTGTACTATTATCCTCAACCACCAACAATTATATGATGGAACAAGGAGGGACTAAATGGCCGCGACCCTCCTGATATTTTATATAAATAAATGTTTACTAAGCCATTCACAAAAAGGGTTGTTTTGTACCAATAAAGTAAGACTTTTTTTAATATACTTTTTAGTACGTCATCAATGAACAGTAATTTTCTTTGTGCATCATTTAGCACATGCATTAACATTATAACGTTACAGACAATAAACTTTCGTATTACACCCTGTATAAATAAATAACTCTTGGTCATGATTGATTATAAAGCACTATGGTATCTGTTAGCGCTATATAAATAGCAATAATAATAATAATAGGGGAAAAAACAAAAAACTAAATATAAAAAAACAAAACAAAAACATCATAGCTCACAGTTTTGTCTATTATATCCCTTGATATAGTGCTGGTAAAGTGGTAAATGATACAGAAACTAGTAAATGCCAGTTTTGTGTATCTAATCAGTTAAACTGGGCAACTCAAGTTGTTGTAGACCTCATCTCCTATAATGCTCTTACAGCCATAATGATGGCAAATCATTAGGGGAATTGAAGTCTCCAACATCTGGAGTGCCGAAGTTTTCCCACCTCTGCACTAGAGTAACTCTTGAGCAAGTCTAAAAACCCACATGCAGAAACACAGAAATAGTGATGGGAAATGGTATTTATTATATAGACTAAGTAACGTATGCATGGAGACTCCTTTGCCGATTCTAGGCAGGAACAAGGATGTACATGTTGCTACTTTTAGTGTCTAGTTAACTTGTGCTAATTTGTGAAAGAATTACAAAACACGTCAGTCACTAACAACTCCGAAGAACTTAAAGGAACACTATAGTGTCAGGATTACAAACATGTATTCCTGACACTATAGGTCTAAATGCACCATTTAGGTTCCTAGCCCCCCTGTCAGCAAGTTAAAAGGTGATTTTACTCACCTTTTTCCGTTGCTTCACAGGTCTCCTCGTGGCTGGCTGCATCCCTTGGCTGTGATCATCAAACTTGAGCAACAAATCCAAAGATTTCCTATGCATTGGGAAACTATTACCTATGTGTGGCACAATGCTACACATTGCCAATCAGCATCTCCCTATAAAGTTACATTGCCAATCAGCATCTCCTCATAGAGTTACATGAGTGTAGATGCTGAATGTCAGTGCTGCACATTGTACAGCACTGACCCAGGAAGCACCTCTGGTGGCCGTCTGAGTGACCGCCACTAGAGGTGTTACTAGGCAGTAATGTTTCTCTGAAATGCAGTGTTTTCATTGAAAAGTCTGCAGGGACAGGCAGTAGACACCAGAACAACTACATTAAGCTGTAGTTGTTCTAGTTACTATACTGTCCCTTTAACATCTGGCTTCAATCGTCCTGCTACTATCACCAGCTACTGCTGTGCTTTCATTGTGTTTAATGATGTTAACAAGCATCAAACTAGTTAGTAGAGTTGTACACCAATGTTTTAAAAGAAATGTGGTCATAAACGTTTAGCATTCACCATGGAAACTAATGAAATTATCATAACTGCTTTTCTTTTACCTGTACTTTATGCAATCACCTTACATTACCTTTTCTAGCAGTAGTTTCACTTATTACTCTCTATTAGAGATTTTCAATAAGTTATTTATTAGTCTAATATATTGTTAAAAACCTTTCCAAAAAAATTGCAAGAATCTTCAAAAAAGAAAAGGAGCAAAAATAACATAACAAATATTTCACAAGCTAAATAAGTAATTTTCCAAACAGAACTATATAAAATATAAAAGACAGAAGAAGCTATTAAATATTTTTTTTCCACATGATTTTAACAGTTAGAAATTATTTCATCAGTATATATTCTATAAATCAGCATTGCTTCTGTTCATTATTGGAAGCTTTGTATTAAGGTTTTTTATAAATAGACAAAGTAATATAAGAAAATAAACTCCAAACAAGTGATAATGTAATATTATTATTGGCATTTATATAGAGCAAACATATTCCACAGCACCTTGCAAAGATGGAATGAGGTGGAGAAGGCCCAGTTCAAACAAGCTTACAATCTATGAGGATTTGATGTAGGCAGATATATATTCAAGGATATTTATTAGTAAGATCTGACCAGGATTTAAATCTAGGCTTTCCGGATCTACATCTAGTGCTCTACCTAGCTGATAAACTGATAAGCCACAAAATTAAAAATGCCTGCCTAATATCATATAGGTCCCCCTCGTACTGCCAAAACAGCTTTGATGCATTGAGTCATAGACTCCACAAGAACTCTGAACATGTCCTGTGGTATCTGGCACCAAGACATTAACAGCAGATCCTTTAAGTCCTGCAAGTTGTGTGGTGGGATCTCCATCAATCGGATTTGTTGTTATAGCACATCTCATAGATGCTCATTCGGATTGAGATCTGGGGAATTTGGAGCCCAATGCAACACCTTGAACTCATTGTCATGTTTCCCAAAACAGTCCTGAACAAGTTTTGCCCCCTTTCACAGGTGACATTTTAATAATTAATCACTGTTATTTATGTACTTTGTCAAAGATTTTAATGTTTGGCTAATCCATCTGTTATTAAGGTGATTTTTCAAATTCCATTGCCATTCAGTATGTAAGTACTATGACCATCAATATACACCTTTTTATTTATCCATGAAACATAAATCCTTTCTTTAAGGTATACAATGGGTTATTAAGATTCAGACATGAGGTTCTCTAAGTGACTGCCGTTTTCTCATTAAAGAAAATAATAATAGGGTTCTTCAATAGACAATGAGAAAGTGATAACATTTCAATCAGTGACTTTGAAATAGAGTCTCATTACACTTATCACTGTTACTGAATTCACAAGGTAGTGTTTAACAGTCCTGTGAGATTTACTGAGGAGGGATAAAAACAGTCTTTAATTATACATATCATTTGGGGGATTGCTATTTAATTATATATTAAGCATACATTAAAATGTAAATCTAAGCACCATAGCCATTTCACCTAACTAAAGTGGTTATGGTGTCAAGATCATCTCCCTGCAGACTTTCTTTTTATATATATATATATATATATATATATATATATATATATATATATATAAAAAACAACTTTATTTTAAAAATAAACATTTTTTTTTTTTTTGGATGAGGCCAACTCCCTAGTCTGTTAATCAGCCAAATGAATACTATCTTCCTGGCTGGCAATATCAGCTTTCTGCAACTTTTGTGTCTGGTGTCAGCACTCAGAGCATGCACACTGCATTTGCAGCATGCTAACCCCAGCTAATTTGGACAGGCTGCCCAAGGCTGGGTCAGTTACACACACACATGCACATCCACCCACCCCCAGCTGCCCATGTGTCTCCCTGATATAGAAAAAAACATTTAAACACAGTGTATATTATTGGCAATTTATGTGTTAGCAAAATGAATGTAGAAAGCTCATCTTTGTTAGAGTTCAACTCATATCATGCTCAGTGGAATGAAACATCTATCAACTTCATCTATTGGTTGGCTGTGCATGATTAGTCCTCTACAACTTTATTCAGCAAGTCACCATTTTAATGGACATGAATACTTAAAAACAGTGCTTGATATAATGCAGTCTTAAAATATGAATTTTTTATATGAATCCCCAAATCTCAATAAAACTATGTATTTGGATTAGCAATCTGTCCTCATTGCTTCTTAATGAGAAGCCCTTGACTGAACAATGCACTTTTAAGGAAGTAAATACTGGGCAAAAGGTGGATGGATCTTAATTAGCTGCAGTGGCTAGTTCTAGAGTTGATGAAGGAAATGTTTTCATGGCTTGGGATATCTTTGTATATATTGTAGTAAATGCAGTAAATATATACAATATCTCACAAAATAGAGTACACCCCTCACATTTTTATAAATATTTTATTACATCTTTTCATGTGACAACACTGAAGAAATTACACTCTGCTACAATGTAAAGTAGTAAGTGTACAGCATGTATACCAGTGTAAATGTACTGTCCCCACAAAATAACTCAACATACAACCATTAATGTCTAAACCATTGGCAACAAAAAGGAAGTACACCCCTAAGTGGAAATGTCCACATTGGGCCCAAAGTGTCAATATTTTGTAGGGACACCATTATTTTCCAGCTCTGCCTTAACCCTCATGGGCATGGAGTTCACCAGAGCTTCACAGGTTGCCACTGTAGTCATCTTCCACTCCTCCATGACGACATCACGGAGCTGATGGATGTTAGATACCATACACTGCTGCACCTTCCATTTATGGATGCCAGACAGATGCTCAAAAAGGTTAAGGTCCTGGGACATGCTTGGCCAGTCCTTCACCTTTACTTTCAGCTTCTTTAGTAAGGCAGTGGTCATCTAAGTGGTGTGTTTGGTGTCGTTATCATGTTGGAACACTGACCTGTGGCCCAGTTTCCAAACTGAAGAGATCATGCTCTGCTTCAAGATGTCACAGTACATGTTGGCATTCATGGTTCCCTCAATGAACTGTAGTTCCCCAGTGCCAGCAGCACTCATGCAGGTCCAAACTATGACACTCCAACCACCTTGCTGGACTGTAGGCAAGACACACCATCTGAGCCAAATAACTTTATTTTGGTCTCATTGGACCACAGGACATGGTTCCAGTAATCCATGTCATTAGTCTGCTTGTCTTCAACAAACTGTTTGTGAGCATCATCTTTAGAAGAGGCTTCCTTCTGGGATGACAGCCATGCAGACCAATTTGATGCAGTGTGCAGCACATGGTCTGAGCACTGACAGGCTGACCGCCCACCCCTTCAACTGCTGCAGCAATGCTGGCAGCACTCATATGTATATTTCCCAAAGACAACCTCTGGATATGACGCTGAGCACATGCACTCAACTTCTTTGGTCGACCATGGCGAGGCCTGTTCTGAGTGGAACCTGTCCTGTGAAACCGCTGTATGGTCTTGCCCACCATGCTGCAACTCAGCCTCAGGGTCTTGGCAATCTTCTTATAGCCTATGCCATCTTTATGTAGAGCAATAATTCTGTTTTTCAGATCCTCAGAGAGTTCTTTGCCATGAGGTGCCATGTTGAACTTCCAGTGACCAGTATGAGAGATTGTGAGAGCGATAACAACACATTTAACACACCTGCTCCCCATTCACACCTGAGACCTTGTAACATTAACAAGTTACATGACACCGGGGAGTGAAAATGGCTAATTGGGCCCAATTTTGGACTTTTCCACTTAGGGGTTTACTCACTATTGTTGCCAACGGTTTAGACATTAATGGCTGTGTGTTGAGTTATTTTGAGGGGACAGCAAATTTACATTGTTATACAGGTTGAACACTTATTACTGTACATTGCAGCAGAGTGTCATTTTTTCAGTGTTGTCACATGAAAAGATATAAGAAAATATTTGCAAAAAATGTGAGGGGTGTACTGTACACTATACTGTATATGGCTTGACTGGTGTGTGTATTTGTGTTTAGCAATGTATTTAAAAAAAATCTATATATATGCAACAATTAACCATGTACATGAAAAAATTTGTTTTTGAAAATAGACGTTCCCTTTAGCATAATGATACATTATTTAACACAAAATAGTTAACTAGATGGATATACTGTCTTCAACCATTTCTATAGAATTTCCCACTGTTAATGTTATTCTGTAGCATGTGAAGTTTTCTTTATTACTATTTTTTTACTGTAACCAAAACTAGAATAAAAAAAAACAAACAAAAAGCATTCTTTATTTTATTTAACTCTATGTAAAGTCTATAAATATTTATTATAGGTTAGCCGATTTTCCACAAAATAAAAAAATCTCCCATAATTAAAAGTTTGATATTTTGTTTCCTACTTCTGCAATACATTTTCTAATCTATGTTTAATTCCCCTCAATTAAGTATTTAGTGAACAGACCCTCCAATAAAAGAAATCTTGTATGTGCTGAAATACTAAGGTGTTACGTTCAGGCAATTTCTGCTAACTAATTTGGAGTGAATTGATTGAAAAACCAAAACTAGCAGCATTCCTTTAATTAGTTCACGGGATCTCAATTACTCTTTGAAATTATGTCAATTGACCGTGTTTGTTTAATTATTGAATACTGTCATGCCACCAAAGTCAATTTAAATCTACAATTGCAACATGATTTACATCTGTTTTTGAGTGACAGCAGTGTCCTAGAAAAAAATAAAACATCTACAAAAAAATGTTTGTAATATGAGTGCATTTTTGTTTTATTATAAGTGACTATTTATGAATATAAATTAAGCATTTATTGATCATATTCTGTTTGCAATTTTTATTAAATAAATATGGTATTAATGCATATTTATTATTATATTCTCTATTTTCTGTAGGAAGTTAGCGTTTTTATAAGAAGAACAAGTGAATATTATTCTTTATTCTTAGCTATTGATCCCATTAACGTCTTTATTTTCAAGTACTTTGCAAAAAAAACACTGTTCTTATTCTGTTAGGATGAAATTCGGTAGTTTCGCTGGCGGAGGAAGGGATTAGGGAAAGGTAAGTTCGGCATGACATTGCCGCTTTAAGTATCTGGAGTGTTCAAGAACTTAATGTTTATATGTATTATAGTACACTATTTAATTAAATCAAAAATGAAAATCATGGTAGGATGCAAACTTTTTTTTACAGATGTGAAAAGTGCTGTAAATAAATAACTTTTATTGAAACTTCCCCTACATATTCCATATTCCATAATCCTACTCTCACGGTTTCCTGCACAAACTCATATTGCAAATATAGTCGTGGGAAAAAGGTCGAACCTCTTTGAATTCTATGGTTTTACATATCAGGACATAATAACAATCATCTGTTCAGATTAACAACAACACATTACATATTACACCGTGCCATGATTTATTTAACAAAAATAAAGCCAAAATGGAGAAGCTATGTTTAAAAAAATTAAGTATACCTCATGATTCAATATCTTGTATAACCACATTTAGCAGCAATAACTTCAATTAGTTGTTTTCTGTATGACTTTATCAGTCTCTTACATCATGTGGAGGAATGTTGGCCCACTCTTCTTTACAACATTGCTTCAGTTCATTGAGGTTTGCTGGCATTTATTTACAGCTCTCTTAAGGTTGCGCCATAGCATTTCAGTCGGGTTAGGGTCTGGACTTTGACTGGTCCATTGCAACACCATGATTATTTTAGTTTTCAGTCATTCTGTTGTAGATTTGCTAATGTACTTGGGATCATTGTCCTGTTGCATGGCCCAGTTTTGGTCAAGTTTTAGCTGTCGGACAGATGGCCTCACATTAGACTTAAGAATACTTTGATATTAGAGGAGTTCATTGTCGACTCAATGACTGCAAGGTTTCCAGGTCCTGTGGCTGTAAAACAAGTCCAAATCATCACTTCTTCATTACTGTGCTTAACAGTTAGTATGAGGTGTCTTTGCTGATATGCTGTGTTTGGCTTTCACCAAACTTGGTTCTGTGCATTATGGCCAAACATCTCCACTTTGGTCTCATCTTTCAAAAGGACATTGTTCCAGAAGTTTTGTGGTTTGTTCAGATTCACCCATGCAAACCTAAGCTGTGCTGCCATGTTCTTTTTAAAGGGAAAGAGGCATTCTCCTGGCAAATTTCCTAAACAAACCATACTTTTCAGTTTTTTTCGAACTGTACTATCATGAATTTTCATATTTTACATGCTAAGGCCTGTAACTCTTGTTTTTTTTGCAATTTTTCTGAGTATTGCACAGTCTGAACTTGCTGGAACGTCCACTCCTGAGAAGATTGGCAATGGTCTTGAATGTTTTCCACTTTTTAATATTTTTTCTCACTGTAGAATGGTGGACTTTAAATTGTATGGAAAAGGCCTTATAACCCTTCCCAATTTGATGGGCAGCAACATGTGCTTCTCTAAGATCATTGCTGATGTCTTTCTTCCTTGGCATTGTGTTAACACACACCTGAATGCTCCAGACCAGCAAACTGCCAAAACTTCGGCTTTTATAGAGGTCTTGCTGATTGAACTTGCTGACTTGCTGATGATCAATTAATGAATGGCATTTTATTAGCAGCATGTGTAAGCTACCTAGCCTCTTAATTACTATGGAAACAGTAAGGATGTACTTAGTTTTTTACACATTGTTCCATTGTACCTGTATTTTTGTTAAATTAATCATGATACAGCGTGATTCATGTGTTGTTGTTCATCTAATGTTGGATGTACCTAATTTTAAGACCTTCTAAGGAACAGATGATTGCTATTATGTCTGAATATATAAAACCATAGAATTCAAAGATGGTGTACTTTCTTTTCCCCTGTATATATGGCTTTATATGATAGCCATATGTATGGATTCCAGTGGTTTCTTCATATTCAACTGAAAATGCAACTTATAATGACTTCTCCATGATAAAAGAATGTTCCACAAAGTTAAGAGAAGAGATCATCACCCTTAACAAACAAGGAACAGGATACAAAAAGATATCAAAGGCACTAAATGTTCCTTGAAAAGGAAAATGTGGCTGCAATATGTTTAAAATCATGTAAATTAGCCACAGAAGTTTGGGGATTCTGTTCTGTGGAGTGATGAAACAAAATTGGAACGTTTCATAACAATGGATCTGCCTGGGGTTAAGCATGTTGGTGGCTTTGTGGTGCTCTGGAGCTACTCTGCAGCCTCTGGTACTGGAAACCTGCAAGATGGATTAATTGAAGTATCAGGAAATCCTAGGGAAAAACACCATGCTGTCTGTGAGGAAGCTGAAGCTTGGGCATCATTAGATCATATTAAATACAATGATCCAAAGCATATATCAAATTCCATCAAAGCTTGGTTGTAGAACAAGTCTTGGAAAATTCTACAGGTGCCATCATGGTCACCTCACTTGAACCCCATAGAAAATCTTTGGTTGGATTAGAAGGTGGTTGCTGTCACCATATGGGTAACCCAACATGCAGAATTATAACCTTCCTAAAGATACAAAGTGATTACCTAAACCGGACCTTAGAATGGCCACACTGAAAGTAATAAAAAAAAGAATAGTCAAAAACAAACCTAAGTCAAAGGGAGACAGTGAACAACTAAAACGAAATACCAGAGCCAAGTTAAGGGAACCAGGTTTCAGAGTAGTCAGGGAAAAGCTCAGTTAATACCAAAATAGCAAAGAAAACAGATGCAAACATACTCTTAGGATGCTAGAAAACTAGGAACCACAACACTGTCTAAATGTGCTTTTATATGTTTGGGGTCCGATTGATATAGTCACGCCCCCAAAACATGAGAGGGCATCTGTAAATCCCAAACTGCCCATAGCCTTCGGCAATTCGGAATTTCAGCAATTCGGAACTTTGGTAACTCAGATCCTAACCTCTAACCCATGACCCTAACCATTTATTTTGCCCCTAACCCTAACCACTTGTATTACCAATTTTCTGAAATTCACAGCACTTCGGAACTTCGACAATTCGGAACTTCAGCAATTCGGTTTGGCACTTCAGAAATTCGGCAATTTAGCAATTCAAACTTCAGACATTTGTAAGAATCCGAATTTCCGAATTGCACGAAATTCGTCCTAATGTACATTCGGATGAAAACGAATTGTACATGTCTATGAGAATATATAGAATAAAGCTTTGTATTCCTGGCACTATAGTATCCCTCTAAATCTGTCTTCCCTAGGTGGGATACACCACATGGACATAATTTAATATATAGCATGAACAGTATCACAAATAAGGTTGAATAGGATTTTGTTTGCCTCTATGAGGATTTGTGAATTAAGTACCACTGATTATGTGGCTGCAAGTCACACAACTAATACCGAAGCATTCATTTTTGATGGACATAGCAGGCTATTTATAACAATGTCCAGAATCACTGCAATTAGTCCTAATTTGCTCAAACACTAATGTCCAATTCAAATATTAAGTCCATAAAAGCCCATAAGTCCATAATTTAAACAATAATAAATATTTAACTAGGTGCAAAATAGAAGTAGTGATGAGAGCACTCAATGAATATAGATAGAAATTTTACCAGTACTGTCATAGACATATACCTAAAAATAAAAACATAACAGAGACA